GTCAACTACATCGTTCCGAGTAATCCAAAAATTTGTCAGGTTGAGTTGTAGTTGATGACGGATTTACTGTAGCTGTTGGACGGTTGTGTTTCTTGAATTTTTTATCTGGTCTTTAAGGATTTGTTATAGCACTTTAAATATAAGCTGCATAATTTAGCATAAGCATGGATGGACTTTTTTACGACTTTTAAGTTATAGAAACTTTTTTTTCACCATAAAGAGGAACTGAAGTTAGTGATATGTGAAAAATTGTTTTCCATCTAGCAAATCAAGGTCTGACGGCTCTGAAGTTTTTTTCAACGTTATATATCTTGAAAGATTCTTGACGTTCTAGTACCATCGTTTACCAACTCTACGCTTCTCTTTGTATCATCAGCATCGTGGTGGGGCTAAGCACGCTTTTAAAATTTTCTACGTTCTAATATCTGGCAGTTTTATATACAGTGGAAGATGTGTATTCGTTGCTGAAACTTTGTAGAACTGAGTGAGGCATGTGATGAATTGTTTAATTGAATAGAACTAAGGTAATTATGAGTATTTATTACCAGGAAGATGGAGTTTACTGTTAATTCTGAGTTACCTTAGCACTTGAGCTTCTGAAATATTTGGGTTCAAAAATTTTGTAGAAGTCACTTTAATTTGTTGCAGGCTGTGGATTAAAATTTTTTTATCCGATGTAGACTACATTTTTCCATCGTGAATTGATTACTTTCTTATATTTGGACTCCGGATTATATAGTGAACCAACCAATCCAACAGAGTCTCATTGTTGTGATAGCTTCATAATCTGTGATTTCAATCTGACTGTTAAAAAGAATTTTTGTAGCATGAAGTCGGAAGCTTCTACAAACTACGTCTGGAGTCGAGGGAAATATGAAGATGATGTTTATCCTAGTCCGCCTTGGTACACTTCGTTAATGGTATTCGTTTCATCTGTAATACTGATCACTTTGTCAAAATTCGCCAACTGGCTTCGGGATAAAGGCGTTATGAAAGTTCAAAGTGCAACAGAACTCGAAAATCAAAAGGTAAAACTGACCGATTAGCGTTATTTTATGGATGGCCATTTTAGCAGAAACTTTTGTCTAAGTTCCAAATTATCTTTATTTCTCGTTCCGTCTTCATTTTTATAGTACTACATAATTATTTTCTTTCATTTGTGTATAATTTCCTTGCATATGTTCAGATTTTTGGGTCGCTTGTAGGGACTTCGTTTGTCATTTCTATTCTGTTGAGAATTGTGCGGAATGTGCCATTCTGGTGGTTCAAAATGAAATTTAGTGCTGTTGCCTATAGCTTAGGTAGCCTAGAAATTCCGATGGTTGAACTGTCTGGGACGTGGTCTTTGCAATCTAGGTGTTTTAAGTTACTCCAAAAGTATGTAGTAGGGATATTCAGTGGAATGCCATTGTCTCAAGATAGAGTTTAGTTATATGTTGAAGCCTAGTGTGGAGAAGTTATTCAAATTTTTAACCGTAGATTTGCTTAGTGATCCTTTTGTAATTCAGAAGCTGGACAAGGAAGTACTTTTTTGTTTCGTTAGGTTTGCATTTCTTTTGAGATAACGATTCTTTTCTGTGTTTAAATTTTTTAGGATTTTGTGCCGTTACATGACACGTTTGGAAGGGTTTACGTTGACAATCTTTACCGTATAGCAAGTGATGTCGTTAATCGACCTCTAGCTGGTGTGCCAGGCACAGTTATGAAGCTTAGGGACCGCGTTACACATGATTATGGATGGACGTTCGAGTTAGGTTTTTTAATTCTTAAAATTTCCTTTTGGATTAGTGCTGCTAACGAAAAAAAATAAACCGATTAAGCTTACAGTTTTTACCAGCTACTTTTTTTGAAGACACTTACTGCAATTTTTTTATTCAGTATAGCTTTTAAGGTACACTGGAGAAGTAAGGGATGTTATTAACATGGGCTCTTACAACTACCTAGGTTTTTCAAATAATTCGGGTCCTTGCGCTGAACTGGCTGCTGAATATATCGATAAATATGGAGTTGGAATGTGTGCCTCTCGTCTTGAATTTGGTTAGTACTAGTGTTTGACAAAGCATTATATTTCTAACATTATTTTTTTTTACAGTTTACTTATCTCTTTTTTTTGGAACTTAGTCAGTGTAGTTGGCTGTTTTTTGTTGCGAAGGTAATGCGTTAAGTAAAAAAGTACCAAAAAGTATTAGATGAATTTTGTGAAGTATGGAATTTTTTGGTTTAGGTAATCATAAATGTCTAAGGGAGTTGGAACAAAGTATCGCCAGATTTCTGGGTACTGAGGATGCCGTTTGTTTTCCTATGGGATTTGGGACAAATTCAATGAATATTCCAGCATTTGTTGAGGAAGTAGGTGCCTTAGAAAACATTTTAAATTTTTAAAATTTTGCTTGAATTGAGGACTAAGAGCTGGCCAAAGGACGGCACTCTGATTTAGACTGTGTTCGCAGTTAATAACATTTCTAATTTATCGATTATTTACTAGTGTTAATTAATGACCAGTTCCGGTATGGTTTCATGGTAACAAATAACTTTTAACTCGTGCTTTGAAATGTTTTGTTTGGGAATATTTTTTAGATTTTTTTTTGGATGGAAGTTGAATAATCTACTTTCTTCTTTGACTTGACTTACTAGTTGTTTATGGTAACTGTGCAAGGTCTATGATTTTGACGGGGCAAAGGTATTTACATTATTGGTACTGGTAGTGGGTTTATCTTATAATTTTTGCTCAATGGTTTCAACGCTTCTCATTGTCCTTTCCTTTTGTTGTTCAGAAAGGGGACAAGGAAATACTTTTGTTTTTTGTTAGGTTTGCATTTCTTTTGAGATAGCGATGTTTTTGTGTGTCCAAAAAGGTTTTACTTGTGTTTTAGGGCTGCTTAATTTTGAGTGACGAGCTCAATCATGCGTCGTTGGCCTTAGGGAGCAAAATGTCCGGCGCCGTCGTTAAAGTATTTAAGCACAACAGTAAAACTTTTTTCCTCCTTTGTGGCTTATATTATAACAATTTTTCTATTCATTCTTTTGATTTATCTTGTAAAAAAGATCAAAACTGAATCCCGTTAACAAAAAGCAGTGGATGGTACGAGATCGACAAAGGCAGTTAACACTATAATCGCGATTTCTGAGCGATGGTTTTGTTATCCTAGTGATAAAACTGCATCAGAAATATGTATCTTTGCTTAATGTTTTTTATTTTTCCAGACGCAAAGGATATGGAGAAAAAGCTTATAGACGCTTTTAGAGTTGGAGACCCAAAAACGGGAAAAGAGTTTCGAAAAATATTGATTATTATTGAAGGGATATACAGTATGGAAGGAACTATTGTAAATCTTCCTGAATTTATCGCAGTAAAAAAGAAGTATAAAGCATATTTGTTCCTTGACGAAGCTCATAGTGTTGGTAATTCTTTAATGTTATTGAGACTTTTGAGCGATTATTTGGAAGTGTTTTAAAAGAGGAACAAGTTTATTGATAACAGCCAAAAACCGGGTTTATTTTTTTATATTTTATGGTTAGGAGTACAGCTGGTGATCATTAAAACCAATAAGTATATGGAGTTTTTAAATTCGTCGTTACAGTCAGTATGAGGGGATGTTTGGGTCATTTATTTTTGGCGACTTCGTTACTTCTTCTAGAGTAGTTTCCTTTTTTTGCTCAAGTAGAGTGAAGTCTATACGTTTGCGTGGTCGAAATAGATTGGTTATGGAAATTTATGGATATCTTATCTGATCGTATTTTGTTTCAGGGGCTCTTGGTCCAACGGGTCGAGGAGTGGTAGAATATTGGGGATGTGATCCAAACGATATTGACATAATGATGGGGACTCTTACGAAGAGCTTTGCGGCTGCTGGAGGGTATATTGCTGGTCGTAAAGTTAGTATTAGTAACAGTAGCCGTGTTTTCTTCAATTTCCCCGTTGCTTTTAGCAAGAGAAGAAAAAAATTGTCCAAAATTTTGTCTGCACACCACTTGACTGGTGGAAACAAAATTTTTTTCTATTTTTTAAACAGTGGTACTTGTACAGCAAGGCTCACTTGCTTTATTTTACTCCGAAATTCTCTACGCTTATCTTTCAATACTTTTGTAGTCTACAATCGATTATCTTCGAGTAAAAAGTCAGGGCGCTTGTTATGGGGTTAGTATGTCACCACCAGTGATTGCACAGGTCACAGCAAGTTTAAGAGTAAGTAATTGTCTTGTATTTCTCGTTAAGAACCAGTGCTTTTTGTTTCATATCTTCAGTTTTTAAAAAAGGAAAGGTGTAAGTTCTTGCTATTTACAGATAATGTCCGGAGAGGACGGTAGCAATGTTGGAAAGGAGAAGATGATTAGATTATTACGCAGCACAAGGTATCTACGAAGGCGGCTGAAGCATCTTGGTTTTTTGATTTATGGTCATGAAGACTCTCCTGTTGTCCCTATGATGACTTTCTTCGTTACAAAAGTTGTGTATGAGTTTCAACTTTATTCTTCAAGTCTAGTTGTGGAGAAATTTTTTTGTTATTTTAAGCAATTACTTGATTGTTTTCACATTGTTGGATATTTAATACCTATTATCAGTGTTAGTTCAATGTAAATGAGGCTTTAGCGGGGGCATCAAAGGTTTGAAATGTCATAGTTTCGCTTATACTGGTCTTTCTTAGTCAAGCTGAAAATCTGCAGCATTTTTTAAATTTATAATGGAATGCAGAAAGAACAGGCGTAAACTTTTTGGCAAATACCAAGCAAGTTAAAGATGACTGAGATGATATTAGGAGATTTTGTTGAGTGGTATTTGGACAGTTCAGCTCACAGTCTACGCTTTTCGTTAAAATGTGAAGGTAACTGGTCAAATTTGCCGAGATTTCACCTGCACCAACCAGCAATCGGTTTGGTAGTGTTTATTTGTTCAAGGCTGAGTTCCTCTTTTGCTTTCATCAATACACTTTTATACTTTCCAGTTGTTTTGGACGCGAGACGTTAAAGCATAATTTGGGTCTTGTATCCGTCGGATATCCAGCTACTCCTCTGACCAAGTCTCGTGCCAGACTTTGTGTTTCAGCTGAACACACAAAAGAACAGCTTGATCGTGTACGTTTTTTTAAAATTGTCAGAGTTTTATCTTTTTTATTTTTTTATTTTTTTTGGAATTTTAGGGAATGTAATAGATTTTTATTTTAGCGTTACTTTTTAGGTTTTGGAGGTTATTGATGAGGTCGGAGATGTGACGAACACGAAATATGGTGTTGTTGGCCCGCCTGGAACGGTCATTGAATATTAAGATTTATTGAGTATAATATTGTTGGATATAATAATATGTGTAGTCTTGCATAATGCTTCCTGCGGGTGTTTTTCAACATAAAAGTGAGTGTTTTACTTTTGCATTCTTTGAGATATAGAGGTACTAGAACTCATTGAGCCGGATTTCTAAACGCTGTGGAAACCTCCTGTTTTTGTTTTCATTTGTTATTTTACTTGTTGCACGGGTTTGGGTAAAATATTGGTGCTGAATTGGGGTTTCTTTATTCTGAACATGAGTGCAGTAAAGTGTTTTTACTTATTCGTAAAAAAAACGATTACTATCTTGGGTAGCTATTTTTAAGCTTCTCTAATATTGCTCGCTTTATTCTTTGCTATTCTTGAAGGCCATGTTACTGTTAATTAGGAATTTAGCTAGAGAATATGTTTAAAAATTAATTTTGTTGACTGAAATGATTGCTTTTATAGTTCTTTACATATGTAGGTTACTTAGAATAGGTACAGTCACTTCAGGCTTTATTGGAAAATTTTTTATTTATGGCTATTTTTGAGTGAGTGCAACCTATTCATTACATCTTCGTTCACTGTAAACTTTATTTGGATATGTCAGAATAAATCGGCTGTAATAAACTTCTAATGTTTGGTTGATCATAGTTGAGCTCTTGATTCTCGGTGCCTTCATTAAATCAATGTTGAGGATGTTGCTTATGAATTTTTCTGTCTTAGTCGTTTCCCTACCCCTTTGTTTTGTTCATAAAATCTGTATGGCATTTTCAAGGAATAGCAGAAAGGAATCAACAAATTTTGCCCATAATTTGTTGTTTTTTTTCCACACTTTGTTTATTATCTTGTCGTATGGCTTACAAGTTAAAATATAACTACTTTTTCTCTTTCCTTTTTATCATTCCAATTTCATGTATGTCCTGAAGTTTGCTTGCCCGATTATTAAATTAGCGTTAAATCGTTTCCTGTTGGCGTTAATTTAGGAGACATGTTTAATGCATATATGTTTGATTATGTTTTAAATTGTGAACTTTTTGCCTCACTTTTGTTTTAAACTTGCCCTTTCTGCATTTCAACCTTTTGTTATGAATTTCTGCGGAAACTTGAGCAGTTCATATATGAGACTTTTTCCACTCATTGCTTTTTGCTCTATAAATGTGTGGAAAACCACTATTGTGTACAATAATAGTTGAAGGGCACACTGAAATGTCTGTTAAAGGCTTTTTTTATAAAGTTACTGGGTGGTTTTTTTGAAATTGCATTTATAAATAATTTACGTTTACTAGACTTAACGGTTTTTGTTGCTTGCTTTTTTCACTGCTGCAAGTAGTGCTACTGTGGGCTAAGTGCGGAATCGCTTAACTACTTACAGTTTAATAGACTAGAAGATCTTCATTCGTTGAGAAATTACCGTGATTGAACGTGTTACGCAGTTTGGTATGTAAAGTATGCTTGGGCTGAAATTTGGTAGCTTCTAAACACTTGTCCATTACGACAATTCCACGTCAAATGAGTCGCACGATGAACGTGGTAATCGGAGACTCCGTTAAGACGGCTTAGAGCAGCGAACTAAGGCAGATGCGTAGGTGGTTTCAATTTTTAAACCTTTAGAGTTGTTGAAAACTTTCTAGAGAATACTCAGGTGAAAACGAAGAGAAGGTTATAAGGAAGTTTAGTTTCACCTAGAGAGTTTACGAATGCAATAGTATTTATATAGTGGAAAACTATTCCTTTAAGCCTTCAACATACGTCAATTTTTCAAAGCTATGAACGGCAAATATCTTTAGCAACTGTACAAGATTTTATTGCTGTATACGCATTGCCCACTCCCCATCTCCTTTCATGCGAATTGCTGTAAAGGGAACAAAATTATGTTACAGATGCAGTCTCACAGACGTCCAAATACAGCTTAACAACTCGTCAGAGGATTGCAAACTTATTCGGGAGGACTGCCGTTCTCATCGTAATGAAGTACCGGAAACCGAAGTCTGTCGTCTTGTCTAAGAGTCTGAGCGCAATTTTATCACAAAACACCATTGTATGACTTGTAAAGTGTGCTTGGATGACAACAGTTTATAGCCAAAAAAAAAAAAAAAAACACTCCTTTTCGCTCTAGTGGTTAAGCAAATTTTAGACTTTAGCAAGTAATGCTACACTTGAAAAAAGAGCGGAAAGCTTTGTTTTTCGCCAAATTTTTGCATCAAGCAGTAAGAGGGGAATAGGCTGTTAACCAGTTTGGAATTTCAGATGCAAGGGTGCTCAATATGCTTTACCACTGAGTATTTAATATTAATTTGTGTTGCCGAAGAGCAGCAATTTGATCATAATTTACCACGCAGTGACAGAGCAGACACTGTCGGTAGGAAGCCAAAAAAGTAGACTGTAAGACACTGTGAAGAACTGAGGTATAGAAGGGTTTTGTGAAAGTGGTCATTTACGTTTTTTCCCTGCGTTATAATGCTTCTATTGCATACGTAGGAAAGATTTTCTTGTAGGAAAGATTTTTGGTCAATTTAGAAACAAGTTCTGAGAGAAACTGTTGCAAATTATTGTCAGCCGATCATGTGTAGTATTTCTTCACGTTGATCCTGTTCATTTAGTTTGTTTCGGGAACGATTTCAATTTGTTATTGTTATTCTTTTTTGCATTTAAACTAACAAGTATATCATTCAGCTTGGTAGATCTCGGTTGCTTCAGAAACATATTTCTTCAGAAGACGAGAGAGTTTGATACTACTGCTACGGCAACCTGGCAGATTCAGTGGAGTTTACGTTGATATGTAAATTTAGTAAGTCAATAAGGATAATAAGGAAGTTTTTTATTTCTTAAAGCAGCTGTTGTGTCTTTAGAGGCACTGATACAAGGAAATTCATCTGCTTTTCTTTTCTTAATTAATGATTTGATTTTATTTTCCTAACCAGTGACAACTTTTCTGTTCAAATTGTCGTTGTTGTTGTTTTGATCATTTACAGCGAATAAAACTTCGAAAATTTGTTCAAAA